TTTTTTTTTTTTTTAAGTTTAATTTTGGGGCTTAGATCTAGTTGGTTTTAGTGATGATTCAACTATTTCTAGCTAAAACATTGTTTTTTCGCTCATTGTTAGCCAATGCATGTTGTGAGTGGGGTTACAAGAGTGTTAAGCCAGGGGAAACTCTTTCAGGTACCAAAAAAAAACCATTTTAATTGAGCTAAAACTTAGGATCTTTTCTGTAGTTTATCTGGTTTTCTTTACTCTTTTCCAGATTGGGACAAAGTTAATCAGAACACCTTGTTCTTTTTGTTTACAGATGATTATTTCAATTTTGCGACTACCCTTTGTTATGAACGGATAGCTCAAGGTGGGGTTTGGTTAGCCATGATTTTGAATCGGGTTTTTGGACATAGCCATGAGCATTATGTAGCTGCTACTTAATTAAGGAACCCCAACATGTGGAGTTGTATATGAGTAGGAAGAAAAAGTTTAAATTTCACTTTACTCCTCAACATAAGAAAAATTTGTACTTAATCTTCACTCAAAAGTTCGATATTCGTGATTTGTTTTTTTCATTTTTATTTCTGTAGAATTTTACTGTTTAGTGTGACCATAATAAACTAGTAAGGTGATCATCAATCAATGTATTACGTACAGCTCTCCCGACACACAATTTATTTCATTAGCAATATAAACTTAAGAAAATTCTTCCTACCCCCACATTGAATGTTCCTAAAAATTCGATATTCTTCCTACTCTGGAACAAAAATTCCGATGCCAAATGATCTGAAAGGGCAAGTTCACTCGTTATACTTTTTAAAACACTTGCATTACTGAATTATTCAACATGCCAAATAAGCCATCATTCATCTCAAAATGCATCTCAACCACATTACATAACCAGCAAGTCCAAATACAAAACATAAAATTCACCCAAACAAAAAAAAAAACAAAAAAAAAATAGCTTAAATCAAAGCACAAGACAAATTTCTTTTTCATTTGCCGGTCACAGTCACAGTAAGTAAACAGGCTTCCTCCTATACATTTATATACAAAGTTACCACATACATAAAGGTTGAAACTTTCCAGTTTATCTCTCTCTCTCTCTCTCTCTCTCTCTCTCTCTCTCTCTCTCTCTCTCTCTCTCTCTCTCTCTCTCTAACCTTAAACCACAGCTTAATTCAGGTTTCAAGAGTACCAATCGTGTAGGAACGATGTGTTCAATTTGATTATAATAGGTAGTATACAATTCGACAAACAAATTCAGTGGTTTATCAGAGGCATCAGGATGTTTTCGCTCAGCCACCAAGTTAATATGATGCCATATTGGACGCGTTCTCTCAAAGTCCACCGTAAAACCAGGAAACTCAGGATGAGACTCATAATTCAAAAGCTTTGAAAGTACAGGTCGGTCCCCTACAAGTTTAATAAATATATAAATCAAAATATAAATCAAAATTGTAAACCGATTAGCGAAATGATATAAAATAAGATCAGATAGAACAACATGTTTCTTGTTGTATTCTCTCACCGCAAGTTTCGAATATCCAAGAAATTCTTCCTAATCACGCTGTTCACTGCAAATGTCATGGCGTATGTTACACATGGAAAGCAAATGCACATTATTATTCTGCCCAACATAAAACAAACTAACAACTCAAAATAGTACCAAACCTTAGTATGCTTTGATCTAAAATCAAATTAAGACGAAATTCCTCAATACATCTGACAAACAATTGAATAAACCTAGTACAGCCCCGCTTATAAACTCGTCGACATCCATGAATCAATTTCATATGAAAATAACGTGCAGCTCGCCTCCAGTTAACATATTATATCTTAACTCTAAACTATCGACAAACCCGCAGAGCAAATAACACGAACAATCAATCCGTGGAGTATAAAAACCCTGACAAATCAATTATGCAGTGACAAACTAAATAACAATCACACATAGAGGTTAAGATCAGGAACATGAACTTACCACTTACGTCTGGCTTTAGAATCTTCTTCTTCAGGGTACTTAAAGAGCTTCACCCCAAACAACGGAATCTGAAAATCAGAATCCACAATCTTCGCCATTGATGGCCGGAATTTCTGGGACCGAACCAAACGGAAGTCTAGGATTAGATATCCGTTGCTTCAACCCCTTCTGGTAGTTAGTCGTGAGGGCCATCGAGTAGAAATCTTCCTCCAGGACAACACTCGGGTACTTCCAAGTTATAGCCGAGTCGGTCTCCACCTGAGTCCACGAGATCATGGAGGGCCTCGATTTTGTTTTCTGTAGAACAAACATCGCCCAGTCATTGTCGCTGCGGAGGGGAGGCAGTGCAAGTTTAAGGGCCCGCATTTGGTTCAAGTATACGTCGACCCGGCCCAATGGATCCTTATTCAGGCATCTATCGTAGACTGGAGGAATTGGAAGTTTTTCATTTCCTCTTAACTTTATGTTTTCGCCATAGCCGAGCTTGGCTAACGAGCTCCAGGCGATAAACCCAACAATCGACCTCGCGTCCCCTGCTGTGTGGTGATTGGTGAGATAAACCCAACAATCGGTCGAGCCCGCACAAGAATGTAAGAGAAAAATCATTGTAGGGTGAAATTGATGTGGTCTTGTATTAGAGTTTCTGTAGAAGGGGGATTTGGGGTGGGGCGAAATTGTTCGGAGACAGGTTGTGAGTAGAAAGGCCAGATGTTGTTGGTGATGAGAGAAACCATACGTCGTCTCTGGGCGGTGAAAAATTTGATGAGATGAACTGCTCTTGGAGTATTTTGAAGTGAAGAAGAATAACTAAGGGGGTGTATTTAATTGGGATTTATAAAGACTTTTAAAAACTTTTTATGACTTTAGAAATTCTGGTCTATTTAATTTAGATTTTTCAAGACTTTTAAAATTCTTGAGGTATTCAATTAGGATTTTAAAAAGTCTTACAAAATCCTGGTGTATTTAACTTATAAGGTTAAGATTTATAAGGACTTTTTAAGAAAAAAACATGTAGGAAATCCCACTACAAATCCCACCTTTAGACTTGGTATTTTACAAGATTCTTTTAAAATCTGAAAATCCTCAAAAATCTAAAATCTTAAAAAGTCTTTAAATGTCACTCGAATTTTGAAACGAATACACGGCCCTAAATCGTGAAGAATTAGATATGTAAATTTTAATATTTGTGATGATATTTTTTTTGGATATGTAGGACATATATAGAAATAAGATAAATATTTGGATTTGAAACTAAATACAAAAGTTATTTTATAATTAATTAATTTATTTTTTATTTCAAATAATAGTAAGAGTAAAATAAGTTTTTAGCATGTACAAACATACAAAGTCAAGTACAAGCATCCGATCATTTCTTTTTTTGCTTTTTACATGTTGTACATTAAATCAATGGTTCATATTTAATCTTGAGTCAATCTAATGGTAAAATAAGAGACTATCATATGTCAGGAATACACAAAGGTACCTGACCCTAGTCTGTCCCAACTTACTATGCGAACTCCTAAGGAAGAAAAGAAAGAGCATGTTTGGATATGAAAATTTTTGGTTTTGTTTGATTTTTTGGTTTGGTTTGGTTAATTTTAAAAAATGAAATATGGTTAATTGTTAGTGGGTATATTAAAATAATATTTAAAATAAAATAATTAAAATTTGATGTGATTGTTAGTTAAAATAATGGAAATGGATGAATAGTGAATTAAGGTTGATGTGATGTGTATAAATGATTGATTAGTATTATTTTATTATATTGAATATATTGATGATAGTGGGGTTGAGTTAAAGTTAAGTTAAAAGAAAAATATTGAGTTAAAATGTTGAAATTTTTGTGAGAATTCTTGTATACAAACATGCTCAAAATGTCAGGTGCCAGATAGTCCCGTTGGACCGAATGAGCTTCTGGCATAGGAACTTGCAGCAAAAAGCTTAAGGCGGCAAGGCTGTTACCTTGCTCGGTCAAAGACCTGTTACACGTGCCACATCAAAAACAACCGATTTGCAGTCTTCCTCGAGCAGTTCTAGGTTGCTCTTAGGTTCTTCCCCTTCAAAAACAACTAATCGAAAAGTTTTAGGCAGGTGGCGAGAAGCTCCCAAATTCCATATCTTTTGCATAGTTGGTTCAGTGCTATTGAAATTCCTAGTATTACACATGTGAGTTGAATTTGTTTTCATGTGAAAAACCGTTGAATGTAATTCCTGTTTCTGGTGCTAGTTTTGTTTGTGCATAGTACATCCAGAAAGATGAAGAAATATTGAGTTTATCCTAATTCATGCATGCCGGCATTTTTGTATCTAACAGGCAAGTAGCTATGAACATGAAAAAAAGACAGCTGTCTCCTGGTCATATTTTGATTTGAATTTGATGGTCACAGTGGTGTTTTGAATGAAAATAGGCAAAACATGTCCAATGTCATCAGAATTCCCACATTTGGAAACAAGTTTCTGATGCGATGTAATTTTTTAGATGCATTTTTTGAGATGGATTGCGCAAATGCAGAGAACTAGTTTGATTATAACTTTTGAAGTTCATTTTCCACTCAGATTTG